ACAATATCTTCACCATAGCACATTAATCAAACTCTGCACAGTAAAATATAAAGAGAAGATTCTAAAATGTACATGAGAGAAATGCCAGCATACTTTCAGAGGCTCTCCAATTAGACTCACAGCAGACTTATCATCAGAAACCATACAGGCTAGAAGAGACTGGTGAGATATAGTTCAAGTCTTAAAAGAAAAGAACTTTCAACCCAGAATACTATACCCTGCAAAGCTCTCATTTATGATCAAAGGTGAATAAAGACCTCTCATGATGAACAGAAACTGAAAGAATTTGTCACCACCCATCCAGCCCTGCAGAAGATGCTTAAGGATGTGCTGCACAAAGAAACATAGAAACATGGTCATCACTATGGAAGAAGGTAAAGGAAGGAAATCTCCAAAGAAAAAAGCAAAGGAATCCAAAGTAAAAGATAGGAATATGTATGGAAAAATGGCAGGGCAAAGTCGTAACTCATCAATAGTCACCTTGAATATAAATGGACTCAACTCTCCAGTTAAAAAACATAGACTGGCCAAATGGATTACAAAACAAAACTTGTCAATTTGCTGCCTACAAGAAACATATCTTCCCAACAAAGATGCACAGAGTTTGAAAGTAAAAGGATGGAAAAAGATACTCCATGCTAACAGAAACCAAAATAGAGCTGGTTTAACTATCCTAATATCAGACAAAATACACTTTAACACAAAAACTGTTAAAAGACAAAGAAGAGCACTATGTAATGTTTAAAGGATCAATTCAAGAGGAAGATTTAACTATTATAAATGTATATATAACTAATTACAGGGTACCTTGCTATTTAAAAGAAATATTAAGGGATCTAAGGGGAGACATAGACTCTAACACAATACTAATGGAGGATTTCAACACCCCACATTCAGCAACTGACAGATCAACCAGATAGAAAATCAGCATGGATAGAGCAAAGTTAATCAACACTATAGACCAAATGAACCCAATAGGTATCTATAGAACTTTTCATCCTACAGTTGATGAATCAAAATGGTTCTCACCAGTGCATGGAAACTGCTCTAGGATTGAGCACATGTTAGGCCATAAAACAAGCCTCAGCAAATACAAAAAAAAAAAAATTTGAAATCATACCAATACAGATTCTTGGACCACAATGCAGTGAAGCCAGAAACCAACAACTCCAGAACGTATACAAACACATGGAGACTGAACAACATGCTCCTGAATGAACAGGGGGCCATAGAAGACTGGATAAAAAGAAAGTATGGGATATGTACACTATGGAATACTACACAGCAGTAAAAAAAAATGAAATCCAGCCATTTGCAACAAAAGGGATAAATCTTCAAATCATCATACTTAGGGAAACAATCCTGTCCCAAAGGAACAAATACCATATGTTCTCCCTGATCTGTGATAAGTATTAGCACACCTAAAAGGAAATCTGTAGAAGTGAAATTGACACTTGGAGAAGCAAGGACTTGAATAGCACTTGTCTTAACTGTCAAGGAACAGGTGTGGTTTTTTTTTTTTTTTATGTATTATGGGACTGGGAATGGGAGAGGGAGGAGTAAGTAGGGTGAGAGTGGGGGTGGGGGGCAGGTAGGGTGGGAAGAATCACTATATTCTTAAAGTTGTACTTATGAAATCTGTACTCGTTAAATAAAAGGTTTCTCTGAAAAAAAAAAAAGAAAAGAACTTGACTTATTTTTCCTAAGTACACGGGGTACTAAAGGATTGGGAACTATCCTAAGCTACTAAGTGGTGAATGTCAGCAAGAGGCCATAGTTTAAGGTGAGTAAGGATCAGAGTCATATTGTGCACATCCAGCCACACTACATTCCATGAACAACTCTCTTCCTCATTACCCAGGAAGCTATAGCTTTGTTCCTTTAGCTCTATGAATTTCAACTTCCAAACTACTAAGTCAGGAATAAAAATATCTATCTGAAGTGAAGGATAGTCCGGAAAATTGTTAATGTGTCTAACACAATGCTTTGAATATAGTAGGCTCCAAGGAAATAATAGGTCCATTTTCATTTACTTCTTGTGTAGCTAATAAAAATTCTTCTAAAATCATTAGGAGATGCTAAACTTTAAAAAAATACAATGTGAATCAAACACCTTACTCTAGGCAATGAAAACAAAGTGCCTAAGCAATGAGCAATATAAACAACACAGTGTGAATGAAAAATAACCTTGAGCTGATCAAAATATCCCTCTATACTATAACCAAAAACCTGTGTACTCCAAAGAAGGAACTTCAAATATCCAAGTTCTCTGCCATAAAATACACGTCACAGACAAAATATAGATACAAAGGTAAATAAATGCGCTTGAAATGTTCTTCCCTCTGAGTTTCCCAAATTATCTTTATCCACTATCCAGGTGGATAAATGTGTTATTCTCTACTTTAAAAAATATATAGAAAATCAGAAAAGTGAAAGAAACTACTCAATTCATAATCATATATCTTTGATTAGATTCTTATATATTATACTGTGGCTATAAACCATCTATTTTGTGAGATGATTGTAAGTAATTTTTAGATGTAAAGTACACTTTTCATAAATAGAATGAATATATAAGGTTCAGTTTACATTCAATATCTTGGACCTCCTCAAGAGTTCTCAACAATTCTGCAATCAAATTACAGATGATTCTCCCATGAAAAGAATGATAGGACAGAATGATGGCCAATAGAAAAGATCCAGTCCATGAGCATGCATGGCTCGTGAGTATATGAAATATGCTTGGTTGGAATTGAATAAAAGGCTAAGATACAGTAGAGTTTGAAGGCTCATTAAGGAAAAAGAATGTAAAATATTACAATAAATTTTCATATTGATTACAGGTTGAGGTGAACTTAGGATTTGATAGGTTATATAAATATATTAAACTAACTTCAGATTTTTCATCTTTTATAGTGTGGCTATAAGAAAATTTAAAATTATACATGTAGCTCACTTTAGTGTCTCCCATTATGATTCTTTTGAAAACTATCTAGTGGGGCACATGTTGTGGCACAGCAAGTTAAGGTACTACCAGCAGTAACAGTATACCATATTGAGTGCCATTTTGCATCCTGGCTGTTCTGCTTCCATTATAGCTCCCTGCTAATTTGCCTGGGAAAGCAGAGGAAAATGCCTCAAGTACTTGGGCTCCTGTTATCCTGTGGGAGACTCGAATGAAGTTCTCAGCTCGTTGCCTCGCAATGGCCCAGCCATTTGAGAAATGAAACAGCAAATGGATGACCTCTTTCTTTCTGTCTCCCCTTCTCTCTCTGTCACTTTGCCTTTCAAATAAATAAAATAAATCTCTTTTTAAAAAAAGAAAATCATACTAATTATTTTGTGTCACTGGTTCTTGAACACTGAAGTGATTCCAGAAACTCACAAAATACGCTAGAACCACATTCTAAGAGTGTAATCAACATAAGATTATATAGTATTTACTCTTTGGTGTACAAAATACATATATATACACACAAAACATGTCACACACATTTGTGAAACAAACATGTCACATACATGTGTGTTAATATTGTCCATTGTCAGTTCAAGCACGGAAAATAATGAGCTACATGAAATATTTAATAGTTATGAAAGAGAAATTTCCTATATGAAACACATATTTGAATGTTTTCACTTTCAAATACTTTAGTTACTGAAACAGGAATATCACCCTTGCCATTTTTACTGGGTTCCCAACTAACAAGCAAAAAGAGAGAAGAGAGAAGGAGGAAAAGGAAATCATTCCATCATTTGGCAATAGACAGGTCATATTCCTTCTAAACAGTACAAACAATATTGGTAAGGTGAGCAAAAGATTTTGTCAATCCTTGAAGGGAACATGAGTCAAACTACTACAAAAAGAAATTAAGGTATCCACTATCTGACAATGATAATTTTAAAGAATGTGTGAAACTCACACAAATGTCATGAATCAGGATCAAACCTGCTTTTCCTCTTACTCAAATCATAGAAAGACCCTTTGAAGAACTCAGATGCTAGAATCTTTTTCAGGCTTGAGACAACAGAACTGTTTTAATCCATGCTTAAATCTAGGATTTTCAAACTGTCTTACTACCTAACTTAATTGCCCCTATAAGAAGTGAAAAAAACTTTGATCCATAAATTATGGAGGGAAATCGAGCATAATAATGAAATAGTGTCCAAAAACTGATACCCTTTTTGCATTAAAATATACAGGGCTAATTATGATTTTAGCACTTGTTTTTGTCCTTGCTTTGTTCGTTGGCCAAACTTAAACACTTCTCATCTCCTTCAATGAAAAGTGGCACTATTATGTTCCTGGAAGCATGGGCAGGGTTCCTCAAAGCCTAATTTTAAGGCCTTAATTGGCTGAGGCATTGGGAGACCATACAAAGCCCACTTCACAGAGAGGGGCAAGACTGCCAGGTCACTTGAGAACAGACGAAGAGCTAACTGGAAGCTATTGCTGAAATCTTACACAGTGTTCTGGGAAGTTTTGCCAAACAGTAATGGAATGAAACACCATCCATCATCATAATACAGAACGCAAAGGAGTTGAAGTTAGCTTGCAGAAAACAGAACAATTTGAACACAAAAATGGTTATCTGCACTTAATAATTGAATATCATAAAAAGCCTGAACAACTTTTATGGAGATTGGATACCATGACTGGTACTGTGATGTGCTCCTGTCAGTTTCAAATCTATTGTTTTATCTCCTTATAACCTCTAAGTTCCAAGAATCATGTGTTCATAACTTAAGAAGGTTGCTACTTAGTAACATCTTTTGTTCATTTGGTACTATTTAACCCCCAGTCTACTTTTCCATTTGCAAAGATGAAAACTAATTCACTCATCCATGTATCCATTTATCAATCCAACACTGTGGTGTATTATGTGACAATGACACTTCAGACACAGAATAAAACTGTTGTGTTCCACAAGCAAGCCAATACTTAATAATGCATACATATAACTCAACATGTATACATTATAAGGACAGATAATTTGGAATAATTTTATTTTTTTCTCCAAATTCCTGGTTTAATAAGGACTTGTTTATTTTGAGAAAAAGGTCACAACATCAGGCTGTTCACAAAAATAACCCACAGTATCAACTTTAGAAAACAAATATTAAGACTATTACACTACTTTTTTTTCTAGATGATGCATCTGACATGCCAACTCTCATTCACAAAAATACATTGTTACAGTTGTGTTGAACAGCCCCACACAGCACTGTATGTGGAGCAGCACATACTTCTAACTCAAAGCCGCTCGCCGCTTGCAGATGCTACTCAACTAAATGAGATGGCTTTTGCAGTTAGGGAAGCAACTACTGAGCTCATGAATGGGAAGAACTGTACTCCCTGCATTAACAAGAGATTATTTTGGAGACAGCTGAAAAAAACCATACATCCTTTTTATTGCTAAATCATAAAGAGGTATCAAAATTAAAAGCAAAAATTACAGGGCAAGACTTAACAAAACTACTAGGAGCATCAAAGGAAGTGAAAATGGGACTAGGCGCAGGGCAATAGGAATTAATGAACATGGGAAGGACAAGGATGGGGCGAACAGTGAGCACGTGCTGAAGATACCAGGGGAGAGGATCTGGTGAAAATGTTGATCTTAGACAAGCGCCTAGGTAAAGAAATCATGGGATAAGATTCCTAAACCCCACTATGTGCTGAAGAGTCATCCTCTCCTTCCTCAGCCTCTTTTTCATCATCCTTGGTCAACTCCAGCTGGTCATCCCCCATCTTCATTATCATCATCATCATCCAGTAGGTCCCCTCCTCAGCAGAGTCATCTGCACCCCCCTCAGACTCCATCTTCTAGTCTCCTCTTTCTTCAGGGAGCTGCAGCTCTGCTCCTCTTCTGACTTACCATTCTTCATCTCTACTCCTTGTTTGCTCTGCTCCTTTTCAATTTATTCCAGGCTTTCCTGCAGAGAATCCACTTTTTGTTTCATGTGGGTCAACTCCTTCTTAATGGCCTGGAGGTCATCTCCTTCCAACTTTCCAGACTTGGAAGAAGATCCTCGCTGTCCACTCTTCGAATTGAAACCACTTTTCCCCTTCTTGAGGTGTTTCCTGATACACGCTGGCGTTTGGAGGGCACTACAGCCCGGGGAATAGGAGGAGGAGGAGGAGGAGGAACGCGTGCTGGGTAGCTGTACATCCTGTCATAATAATCCCGTTGAAAGCCATAGTCCAAGTCAAAAGAGGAGCCGTACATCTCCGCTGCAGTTCGTTTCACACCTGCTTTTCCTCAGTTCACTTTTGGCTCTGCAGCCAGATTCATATCTAACACCTGGCTGGCCAGCAATCATTCTGCCATCCTCTCCTGCTACTACAGCTCAGGCATTTCTCTCATTAACACACTGAACAAAGGCAAAACCCTTGTGGACAGAGCAGCCCACAGTTTTGCCATGCTTCGAGAAGATTGCCTCTACATCAGACTTCTTGACCACAAGAGTGTTGAGATTCCCAATGAATACACAGGAGTTCATGGAGTGAGGATCTGTCTTGTTGGTAACATTGCTTGCCATTGCATTTGATGCTAGGTTCTTCACAAAGCTGAAAAATGTAGCTGAAGATCAAAAAAATCTCACTCAAGCAAAGTTCCATTAACTTATAAATTTCAAGTGATTTGTAACCAGGAGGGGGAGGGAGAAGAGATTGGATTCTGAATCTCCCACTCCAGAGTTCTATGTGGAGAGGCCGACCACTGCTCAAAGTAGGCAACAAGGCCACCTGGAATAATTTTAAACAACTTAATTCCTTTATCATCAACTCTAATCACTAGTGTCAGGTATCTAAATCAAAAAAGAGGCTACCTTTTACTCATAAAATTTACATGTCAATTTGTTAAGTCAACAACAGGAGTCACTGTGCACTTACTCCTCATGTAGGATCTTTGTCCTTAGTGTGCTGTACATTGAGATTTAATGCTATAACTAGTACTCAAACAGTATTTTTCACTTTATGTTTCTGTGTGGGAGCAAACTGTTGAAATCTTTACTTAATGTATGCTAAACTGATCTTCTGTATATAAAGAGAATCGAAAATGAAAAAAAAATTTACGATTATACAGAAAAAGTTAAAGATCCAAAATTAACCCATAAATAATGTAAAATATTTTATATTCACATTAACAATAAAGACACATCATGAAAAAAGATACTGAATGACATTTTACATATTTGTGGTTAACAGTGAGGCCTTACAACTGACTTTGATATACCATTTAATTTCAACCAAAAGTTCAGAAACTCTTCCTAAAATTTCAATAGGATACTTATAAATTAAAAAAAAAGTGCACTGAGAAGCTTAATGCCTTCACCCCACATCCACCCAAGACTGCTCCCCATGCGATCATCCTTTATGACTGTGTACTTTAACTCCCCTATCCTCCTTGTTTACCCTCATTACTTTACTTAACAACTATTTATTAAGCACCTACTGTACGTCAGTTTCTGAAGACAAAAATACTTAAGGCACCTGTTATTAAATTCTGCTTCCACCTGCCTCTATTACACACCAATAGGGGTTTTGTTGCTTGGTTAGTTTTGTCTCTTGGCCATTGGAATGCAATTCTTAACTTTAGCTTACCTCATTCTTATTTTTCCAAGGCTTCTTAGTACAGAAAATTTACGCCTCCTTTACCACTATTATCTATTCCAGAACACAAGTCCCCTTATTTCAAATTATACCCATCAAGAATGACCCACAATTGATGAAAATTCAATGTACAAGCAGGAAATGTTCTGATTCCAAGAATTATAACATGCTGAAATTTGATACAAGAACTTCATATTAGTCAGAGAATATGTAACTCACAAAGCTAAAACCTCAGAGGAAAATCTTCTGGAGAAAATATGCAGAAAAAAAGAACAGAAAATCTTAAATGATATTAATTTCAAATAATTAAATGGAATGGTCAGATATTGGTATGGTTCAGATACGTTTGCAACTCTCTTAGAAACTGAATAGGGCAAAAGAGATCTGAAAAGGCTTGTTATTCCCCAAAACAACTCTTCCTCAGTAAACGCTCTAACCATTCACTTATTCCATTGCATCCCCTGGAATAAGAAAGGAAAAGAAGTAAAATGAGGTACTATCCAGAAACATAAAAATAAGATTCTTTAAGATTCTCCTTTAAGATTCTTCTTGTAGGCAACCACCACACAGCTCCTATTTTCTCACATAATTTCCAAATCCCCCCAAATGGAGGCGCCTCCTTTTTCCCCTGAGGTTCAGAAACCAATATGCTTCACCTATCTTCTATTACCAATACACCCCAGATGAATCTGATTTCACCAAGGCACATGGGAGGTTACAACATTTCATTGGTAGAGAAACTTCCTACTACCACAAAGCACAAAGGAAATGTTATCTTCATGAGGGCTCCTATAACCTACAATATATATTCCCTCAGGGCATTTATAGCATTTCATAATCTCAAGAGACAGAAGGAAAGATTCCTTCAGAGGTTATTTTGCAAGGAACAAATCTGCATTTAAAAAAAAAACACCAAAAAAACAAACAAACAAACAAACAATTACACAAAGAACTATAGCCATTCCACTGCCCTTACGTAAAACATATGGTCACACTGTATAATAATTTTCACAGCTCTATAGGTAAATTTTTGTATAAATCTTTATCTAACCTGAATTAGAACTTTAAATTACCTAAGAGCAAACAGTGTATCTCTTTCACATATAGAATTCAATGGAACATCACACACTCCAAAAACACGAATAAGTCCTCAGAGGTAATGAGTTACTTTTGGCTTGCCCACAGACTGCCTGAGCAAGACAAGTACTTTCAATGGCACAAAATGAACCTGAGGAAAAAAAAAAAAGTAAACCATACAGCCAAATGTGTTTTATATGGCCATGGATCTCATTAAAGCTTTTGTCCAGGTAGGAATATGAATAAATGGATATTACAAAGAGAATAAGCAAGAAAGAAATGAGTATAGATTAATTACTACTCAACTATAAAAGAAAAATAGACTTAAAACCAAGAAGAAGGAAGGCAAATAAAATATTTGAGAACTAGAAATTTTCAAAGCAGGGAGAGTACACTTCGTGGTGTTCCTGGAAGAAAATTCACTTGACAAAAAGCTGCATAAAATTGCAAATGAAAAATAAACTAGACATTAGAATGGAACTAAAGCTGTGGAAAAGTAATGAGAAGCTTAGTCATGAACATGGTTATGGAGGTATGGAGATTGAAAGAATCCATGCAATGCCTCTGTGAAGGAGTTCAGATTGGCTTACATGGAGACACGTACCTGAAGTCAAATAACATTTATGTCTTGTCCAACACCAACCTTACACCAGGATTTACACAAAAATAAGATTATAGTCCAACCTGGGTATGTGTGTGTGGAGGGGAGTCATAGAAGTTAAGCAGCAAGGCATTTTAGAATAAGATGAAATACAGGTCAATTTACAGTAAAATGAAAATAAAATCAATAAGTAAATATAAAATTCCTGTGTACAGAAGCCTCAGCAGGAAATACAGACATCCATCCTGGTTCATTCCAGGTGTCAGAGGCAGCTACTTGGGGGTGGAAAGAACAAATTTTTAAGCAACCATTTGCCAGAAAATACATTTTAAATGATTGCTCCACAGATCAGAAAACAGAGGAGGAAAAAACACACAGGTATGTATTTCTTTGCAAACAGTGGTAAAAGCATTAATACTGAATTCATACCTGTGGCAGAAAAATATTCAAAGTTATTAATTATGAACTCCCAATGTATTTAACTAAAGCTTTATTCTCTCTCTTAATAGTTGAGTTTATTTCTCTCTGAATTAAAAGGACAAAACATGGTAATTTTTAGATTTGTATAGAAAATCATAATAAATGTATATGCACATATAATTATTCCAGAACAGTATAAATATACTAGGATCTGGTTGCATTTTCAAACTGGAATTTAACTGCATATTAAGTAGTTACTTTTATTGTCTTTCAACTGTAATTTTGGGCATACGCTGCCACCAACATTAAGCCAAAGAATCTTCAAGTGAATTCTGTTTCCTGTCAATTAAACCCATCACTGAGAGCACATAACTTGTGTTCTTGATTACTCTTGAATGCTTATAGCAGGTTCCATTCCAGTCCCAAGATGGGCTGATTTTACTTTGGAAGAAAAAGATACTTTTATTTTTCCTGTATGGTTCTTCAAATATATCTTCAAACTAAATTTACATGAAAAATCTTTGCTTAAAAATAGATCGTTCATGAAACTGCATTTGCATCTCCTCTCCTCCCTCACCAAACACCATTACAATAAACTGATTTAGTGAAATACTATGAGGACTGGTGTGTTCAGGGAGTATCTCAGGAGACATATTACACCAGTAGTCATTTTCTCTTCCTTGTACTATCCTTAAAATGATCTTAACCTCAGCATGAACAATGAGGCAAATATTAAAAAGTACCCAACAGAGGCCTCCTTGATATTGAAGAACAAGAGACAGATACCTTATTGGAGTATATCCATTAAATAGGCAATCTCATAACACCTGAAAAGCAAGAGTGGTCCCATACTGAAGTAACAATTTACCATTTCAGACTAAGAAAAAATAAGAGAACTTCTTTATTCTTAATAATTAGTATTTCCTTCCTACTAAATTATTCCATATAAGATGTCTCCCCTTCCAAATACATTTGAAGAAAGGAGAAAGGAATCCTTCCAACTGCCATAGACATTTTAGTTTCTCGTAGCCTCACAGTTTCAAAGAATTCTTAGGTCCCAGCTGTATTTCAGATCTCTTTGCCCAAGATCAAAGTGTTTCTCTGTTAAAGTACGTTGGATTATTCTACACTTGGAACACAAGAAGGTAGAGAGAGATGTTAACCTTAGGGCAACTGCTATAATATTGTCAGACATAGTTGAAGTCCTAGTGGGAGATATGACTGTTTTAAAGGTGAAAACGAAGAAGAAACTATGAAACATAAAATCAGATATACGTATTCTGACCCCAATAACCTTTGAAAGCTTTTCAGAGAGCCATATTTCTCATAACCACAAAAGTGTAAGTTACAGACTGAAAAGTTCTTGAAAATACAAAGGAATTCATAAAGTTAATGGAAAATGGAATTAGTTCATTTTTGTATAAAAAAAGGTTTGAAATCCATGAGTAGTTTTTTCATTATACATTTTCTATAAACTTTAAAAAAAAATCTCATAGCTGTTGCATGGAGTTTATGTACATGACTATGCAATCTAATTGGTAGTCCTAAAAACTACAGTGTTAATCAGCATCAATTTTTTTAAAGCTCTACTTATATTAAAAGATAGACAGAGAGAGAGAGGGAGAGACAAAAAGAGAAAGACTGAGAGATATCTTACATCCACTGGTTCACCCCCAAGATGGTCATAATGGATGGGACTAGGCCAGGCCAAAGCCAAGAGCCAGGAGATTATCTCGGTCTCTCAGATGGATGGCAGGGGCCCAAGTACTTGGGCCATCATCTGCTGCTTTTCCAGGCCACCAGCAGGGAGCTGAACTGAAAGTGGGGCAGCCAGGACATGAATGAGTGCCCAAACGTGATGCCGACACATCAAGTGATGGCTTTACACACTACACTACAACGCTGGCCCCAATCAGTCTGAATTTTAAGAACACAACAGAAAGGTAATTGGGTAACTGATTAGGAGGTAGTTAATATTTTCATGGTGAAGGTATTTATGAGAACAGGCATGCTCTTAGTTTCCTGTTAATGGTAGAAAAAGGTTGTATACCAAAACATTAGAATTACTTCATTAACTGGGTCTTCAGACTTATTTTCCAGTGAATTATTCAAGAAATTAGTATACTATCAGATACTAAAACAACATGAAAGAAAATATTAGAAACAGTCTAGGAGGCCAAGCATTTGGTCTAGGGGTTAAGACACCCTCATCCCAGAAGTGTCTGAGTTACAGATACAACTTGGCTCTCAAGTCCAGCATCCTGTTGATGTGTACCTTGGGAATTAATAGGTGATGGTTCAAGTAGTTGGATGCTTGCTAACAATGTGAGAGATCTGGATTGAGTTCCTAGCTTCTAGCTTCAATTTGGCTCTGCTGGGCCAATTGCAAGCATTTAGGGAGTGATGTAGTGGGTCAAATCTCCCCCCCCCCAAATAAGTAAAAATAAATAAATATTACCACAAAAATTACTACAGCACTTACCAAAAATATGAGTTAATATCTAACGATAAAATTTTTCTTTCTGAATAAGCATTTCTTCTGGTTTAATCATATGACAGCCAAAATGACTCAGTTAGGTGATAAATGTACACAAGTTTGAGTTTCATAAAACCATTTCCCATCAAGAAATCACTTTCTAATCTTGCAGAAATAAGTTATACCTCTTACCTCTCAGCCTCAGCTACCACAACTATAAAGTGGGATTAACACTCTCACAAAGTTGTTTAAAGATTAAGTGAGATAGGGGCCCGCACTGTGGTGTAGAGGGTAAAGCCACCACCTGCAGTTCTGGCATTCCATATGGGTGCTGGTTCGAGTCCCGGCTGCTCCTCTTCCAATCCAGCTCTCTGCTATGGCTTGGGAAAGCAGTAGAAAATGGCCCATGTCCTTGGGCCCCTGCACCCATGTGGAAGACTTGGAGGAAACTCCTGGCTCCTGACTTCAGATCAGCGCAGCTCTGGCCATTACAGCCAACTGGGGAATGAACCAGCAGATGGAAGACCTCTCTCTCCCTCTCTCTCTGCCTCTCCTTCTCTCTGTGTAACTTGGACTTCCAAATAAATTAATCTTTAAAAAAAAAGATTAAGTGAGACAATTCATAGAAAATCTGCATATTTCCAAGCCCTCGAGAAATATTGCGCTACTTCCTTCCCTCAAGGAGAAAAAGTGAACAGGTGAACAAAAAAATTTAACATCACTTGTAATTAGCAACTTTTTCAAGGTTTACATTGCTATCCTCTATTTTAAATACCCACAATCCAAGATCAATAAGTTTCAATAGGAAAAAAAGCAAATCTATAGTCTCATGATTAATGCGATGAACTGCTTATCAGATCTAGGAGGGAGGATATTTGTATTAAGTCTCTCCAAATGCTAGTAGAGAGAATTTAAAGGACTTTACTTTGAAAAGATAAATAGGAGAAGGAATCTCTTACTATCAGGTATCCTCATTTCAAAAGACAAAGTGAAAACAGCTAAACTAATAAAGTATATTATCAGAATAATTTGTTGGGATAATTCAGAGCTTTTGTCCAATAATTCATATTTGGTCTTTTGACTTGAGGGAGAAATAAGAATGGATCACTACTTATGTTTCTCTTTACCTGGCAGAACAGGGCGAGGTGTCTCACGTGGAGGCAAAAAGGAAATGAAACTTTTGCTGAAGATACCATAATAGATGGGAAAAAGAGGTAATAGGCTAAATCTGTACTACACATTTATCCCTCTATCCTATCCATCCATACAACTGTGAACTTTCCATACACCCACCCATACAGCTATTAAATATGTTTAAGTATGTTTATAATGAAAATTTGTATTTGAGTATAAAGCTTGGTTCCAGATATAACAGCAAAATAAGAATCTATAAAAACAAGGTATTAAACCCAATATAAAATACGTATGTGCAAATATCTAGAGGAAACAGCAATAGATACTTGCAGAAAGTTTATGTGATTATAATCAAAAGTTTTAATACCAATAGAGTAGTAAAAGGAAAAATTTCCACTAGAAAGTATGATTTTTTTAAAAGGGTACAATTTACATAGGAAAACAGGGCAAAACATGATGAAGTTCCTTCTAACACCATGAACATTATTTGTTCAGGTGTAGGAAAATCACTCAAGGTTTCTGAGCCAGGAAGTCAAGGAAACAAAGCTGTAATGAAGATTCATCTTGCAGAACTGATTAGAACAGCAATGTGTTGTAGTGTGTATGTGTGCTTGGTTTGGTTTGTCTAATAAAACACTGTTAGCTAGAAGTCAATTGTGGGTGTGTTACAGGTAATCTATTACAAAAAAATTAAAAAATATAAAACCAAAGTTTGAATTATGTCCTTTGTGTGTTAATTTGAGCATATTCAAGGATACTACTTTAACATGTCAACTCTTACCAAATACTTTATTAAACAGCAGAGAAACGGTTAAGAACCAGTTAACTGGAGCCTAGGAAACAGAGTGACCTTGAAAACACCCACAGGAGTGCGCTGCCTGGGAAAGTCATCGGTCTTGGGCTCTAGCAGTCACAGGGGTGAAGACCAGTCCAGAGGAAGGCAGGGCCTACAGGTTAAGATGATCTTGCAATTAAGAAGCTTCTGCAATCCGTGTAGGTACGAAGTAATAAAGAGCTAAATAAGACAGAGGTGATGTAATGGTTAATTTTATGTGTCAACCTAATGGGCCAGAGATATTCATTCAATTAAGCATTATTTTGGATGTGCCTGTGAGGATATGTCTAGATGAAACAACACTGGAATCAGCAGACTAACTATAACAGACTGCCCTCCCCAGTATGAGTGGGCCTCACAAAATCACGGAAAGCACGCATGGTGAAAAAATGCTGAGTAAAGAATTTGCTCTTTCTGACTATCTTCAAGCCGGGGCATCAATATCCTGCCTTCAAACTGGAACTCAGGCTGAAAGTTGACACCATTACCAGTCCTGGTTCTCTCAGGCCTTTGAACTTGGACCGGAACTATACTATCAGCTCCCTTGGGTTTTCCATTTACTGCTTTCTGAATCTTGGGAATTCCCAACCTCCATCACATAATAAACAATTCCCTGCAATATACAAGTGTACTTTAAAATAGTTCACAGAAAGTGAAATTAAAAGGTAAGTTTATTTTGGTGCAAAAAAAAAATCCTTGAAATTCATTAATACAATGGGTCTTCCAAATTTCATGCAAATAGCATATTATAAAAAAAGTATGCAAGGATTTCAAAACTTTCTTGCACCAAAATAAACTTATCTTTTAATTTCACTTTCCACAAACTTTGACATTTCACCATTCAAATACACACAAACGTAGTATAAATATACATATATATTTTTTATAATTCACACAAAGGCATACATCCTATTAGGAGAGAGGAATAACTATGTGAGAAAAAAACAAGGAAGACTTTGTAAAATCAGTAACTGTAGTGCACAAGGAAGTGGGATAATGTAGTCATTCTTTTATATCATAAGTGTAAGAATAGGTACTGAATGCTCTCAGGAAACATTAAAATTAATAAATTAAGGAAGTTTCCCAAGAGCTTAAATGGGTGTTTCATAGTTCAGGCAATATAGGCTTTATATATAATATGTTATCATCCTCTATTTAAAAATATTTTCCTTTTACATTTCATGACAAGTATATAATTGTATTTGCAACCACATCTGGCATCTAAATCATTCTCAATCCCAATGTCATCAACAATTAAGAAGAATCACATCAAATATTTAAGAATTCAGTCATTAATTAAAGTTTGGTGCTACGGAAGGTACACTAATTACCAGAAAATTTAGTCTCTAATAGCAGAGAATATTTTATTAAATTTATTCAGTATATAGAATTAGACAAATCTATCCTTTTTGCTTATACTTTAACTTCCTTATCTTATCATGTTCCAGGCAGGGTCTTTGCACTTCAGCCTGTCACAAACAGTGTTCTTCCTACAGGAATAGCTCCGCCCACCACGATTCACCTGGCCACCACCACTTTCAAAGGAAACCCTGACCTCAGTGTCTCCCTTTCTCCACTGAAGTCAGATCCTCCAAATGCTCTTTCATCCACATAGACTGTTACAACCAGGGTTAAATTTCTCTAGAGGACACAGTAAGGACAGTATCTACACCAAATAAAATTGTACTGTTTTATTTAAATTCAGAAGAAAAAATGGATTTAACAATGAATATATAAAAATACACTTAGCATAGATAATATATATCTTCATACTAATATGTTCAAAAATTTTAATACTTTTACCAAAGAAGGATCCCGGGGGAAAAAAAAAAGCCTCTGGACTATTAAAGTCATAATGAAGCCCTGGTCTTTCTACTAAGGAATAAAATCCCGAGTTTTGTTTTTCAAGTTGGATGAGAATATCTACTTGAGAATTAAATAATAAAATACCTAAAAACTTGAACAGTATCTGACAAACTGTTACAACTTTTGGCTATTATTAGTGTCTACAACAGTAATTAGAAACACTCTTTGTTATATTACTTGAAGATCTATATAATACATTCTTCTTGAGTACAGTTTTCAAAATAAGCTTGGTTCTTTTAAAGAGTTTTTACTGTCCCTTTAAGATGAGCATGTAATCCAATGTATCCCTCATCTTAGATATCAGAAAAATCAGAGATAAATAATAAACTAAAATAACTCCCTCAAGGTACCTGAAAAACTGTCTCTCTCACCTATTTATTTTCTGTTACTTTATTTTAAAAGTTCCATTTATATGCATTTTGATACCACATTATCATGCACAATAGAAGAAAAGTTTTGAAAATATGACCATATATGATAAAAGGCCTTACAACAGTCTAAGCTATTCTAAGAACTACCTATATTTCGAGTACACTCAAGATCCATGTAAATTATCTGCATTTTCTGCATATTTAAATAAGTACCCAATACATACATATAAGGAAAATACATTCATTCTGAAAAATATCAAATTTCATATATTTTAAGAATTGTCTACTGGATTTTAAGGGTACTTTCAGTAAACTAAAAATCATTCATGTATATTCTCAACTTTTTGACAAATGTTCAAAGATGGGCATACTTACCCAAAGAGGTTCAAGCAAGCTGGAGAATTATTTGATATACAAGGAATCAAGTAGCAGAGAAACCATTACCAGTTGCTAATTTCGAGATCTGTGGATGGATTCCTGTGGATACTGCCTTCAAATAATGCAAATTTCATGTTATAGTTCCACAGGTTAAAGATCTGAAAGGTCTCCATGGGCTGAAGTCAAAGTGCTAACAAGGCTACATTCCTTTTTGGGAGACTTTAAGGTAAAGACTTCATTTCCTTTCCTTTTCTAGCTTCTGGGGGCTGCCCACATTCCATGGTTCATGGTACCGACCCTTCCCACCATCTTCAAAGCCAGCATTGGAGCTCAGTCATCTTCACAATGGATCACTTGGTTTCCCTCTTTTCTCTTTCAATTGCCCTGCGAGTGGGCCCACACTGATAATTCAGAAGAATCTCCTCATCTCAAGGGCTTTATTCACAACTACAAAATCCCTTTTTCCATGTAAAATAACATATTAAAATGGTTTCAGATTTCACTGACTTGGGAGGGTGGCACAGGTTGTCATTATTCTGTATATAACACAACAGAAAAGTTGAATACTGTTCATTATAATATATACCAAAGAAGAAATTTTCTATCAGGAATTCATTTCTCTGTCAATAAATACTTAAAATATACAGATTTTTCTTCTACAATTGCTTTAGGTACCTCTTAAATTTAAATGAAACCAAATACAGTAAAGATATGTTTTAAAATGGTGAAACTTACTAATCTAAAACCTCACATCTAATCTATTTTAACACATGGAATTTTGCCCATATTTCTTACCAAGTGTGTTCATGATTCGAGTTCAAATAAAACAGATAGGCTGAACTACTAAACCGCAGAAAAATCACAAAATAGTCTATAAAATGGTGAAATAAGAAAAATCTTTTTTTTTTTTTTGACAGGCAGAGTTAGACAGTGAGAGAGAAAGAGACAGAGAGAAAGGTATTCCTTCTGTTGGTTCACCCCCTAAATGGCTGCTACGGCCGGCGCTGTGCTAATCCAAAGCCAGGAGCCAGGTGCTTCCTCCTTGTTTCCAATGCGGATGCACGGCCCAAGCTCTTGGGCCATCCTCCACTGCATTCCCAGGCCACAGCAGAGAGCTGGACTGGAAGAGGAGCAATCTGGACAGAATCCGGCGCCCCAACTGGGACTATAACCCAGGGTGTCGGCGCCACAGGTGGAGGATTAGCCAAGTAAGCCACAGCACCGGCCAAAATAAGAAAGATTGAAGAATTGACTCACATAATGTATTTAGCACTTCTGAATTTTCCAGAATATTTCCGAGTACACACACACATACCTCAAATATTTCTGAACATGAAAAATTAAGTATCTAAACTCAATTACTGACCTGTTGCCAGCTGAGTATACTATTGGAGGCAATGAAAATATGTCTAAAATTAAGTTTTGAAAATACAAGAGTTATAAACATTAGGCTCATTACATGGATGGGGCAACGGGGGACATCTCAGAGATACTTACATTTAACTAAAGAAAAATAAACCATAACTTTCCACTTCCCATCTACTCACTAACAATATGAATGTTGTTTTCACTTTCAATCGACATTGACACCTGCACATATCTGTATTTCATATCTCCATTTATATCATTAATTTACTTAATTCTGGTCCCAGGAATATTCAACAAATGAGGTTTAATCTCAATCCTTGTTGACCTGGGCTAAATTTCAAATCATAACACAAAACATACAAGAAATAAAATTACTGAAATGAAACACATACTAGCAAAATCATAGACAAATATCAAAACTTTTTTTTAAAATTCTGACTTTACTAGTTTGAATAATTTAAAACAATAGCTATTGCTTCTCAATTGTTTTTCAAAAAACAATTAGGAAGAAAACCTGAAAATAAAAAGGAGCAGCAGGCAGATATCAAACTGAACAATACAGTACTCTATAAGTTTATGCAGTGCTCTCAATTTATCAATTTAAATAATTTTTTATCTAATGATCATCAATAAAATTTTGAACAAACTGTTGAAAACACAAAAATGAAATGCAAATTAATTTTGTATTAACATAAATCCAAATAAATTAAATAACACTTGGAAATCATCCCTTAAATCATTTCACAAAGTATAAACAGTTCAATATAGAATAGGAAAAAAATTGCATCTTCTGGTTTGTGGGCTTAACAAATGACTAGTACTTCTGTTAATTTCCATGATTATATATTATTCTTTCAAAAAGACAAATGTGAAAAATTGTTTGAAATAATTTGGATAATAAGCCATAGATGAGTAAGTGAGTAGGTGGCTAGGAAAACCAATGAATAACCATCATATAAACAAAACATAAATAGCACAATCCCTAGTCTCATCTACATGTTAAGGAAGATGCTGATGATTTGCAATTTTCTCTTTTGTTTCTGTTCCACAAATGAATTCTCAGAAATTCAGATTTTCTCCTTAGCCATCAGCCATCAACTGCATAAATGATACAGTGAAATCAGCTAAAAAGAGTTTCTCAGAACACAGAAGAGTAAAACTAAAGGGAAAAAAATCATTAAAAAGTTAAAATATCAT